CGCTATCAGAAGTCCACCGAGCTGCTGATCCGCAAACTGCCTTTCCAGCGTCTGGTGCGAGAAATCGCTCAGGACTTCAAGACGGACCTGCGCTTCCAGAGCTCCGCTGTCATGGCCCTGCAGGAGGCCAGCGAGGCTTATTTGGTCGGTCTGTTTGAGGACACCAACCTGTGCGCCATCCACGCCAAGAGAGTCACCATCATGCCCAAAGACATCCAGCTGGCCCGCCGCATCCGCGGAGAGCGCGCTTAAACCCGCCGCTGCAGCAGCCGCAGTACACCCCAAAGGCTCTTTTAAGAGCCACCACAGTCACACTGAACGAGAGTTTCCACTGTAACGCTGAATATAAATCAAAATAACATGGCACTCAAATGTTTAATGAGTTGTTTTCGGTCTACGTTTTAAGAATCCCTAGTTGCAATTACTTCAAGGAAGGTTACGCACATGCAAAAACATAACATAACGTGGATGTGCAGTGACACACTTCTGTAGGCAAATAAATGGCCATCTAATACGCATGTGTATATATTACAGCCAAATGTAATTATATATGAGGTTAATATTAAGTATTATACATTTTCAAGTTTAAAGTGAGTCATAAATGTCTGTTGACATGTTTAATGTGAAAATACAAGTAATTTCGTTATAATAGGTTTTTATTTAAAAAAGCACTGATAGCACTGATTTAATGTTTGATAGGACATCTGTAGCTCTCCGTTTACTTTGGTGCCTCTAGATGATGATGATGATGATGATGATGATGATATGTAAGTCGATTAAACCTCATTGTCTCCTGCTCTAACTAGCGGGGGAGGGGTGCGCCATGTGACGCGCGCTGGTTTCACTTAGGTCCTGTAAGCAAATGTAAAAGGCCTCCCTAGAGCTCTTGTCTCTTATTCGTGTTCGTTGCTTGACTGAAGCAAGAAGTATCTGTAGCATGTCTGGAAGAGGCAAAGGCGGTAAAGGACTCGGGAAAGGAGGCGCTAAGCGGCACCGTAAAGTGCTGCGGGATAACATCCAGGGAATCACCAAACCCGCTATTCGTCGTCTGGCGCGCCGCGGCGGCGTCAAGCGCATCTCCGGTCTGATCTACGAGGAGACCCGCGGTGTGCTGAAGGTGTTCCTGGAGAACGTGATCCGCGACGCCGTCACCTACACCGAGCACGCCAAGAGAAAGACCGTCACCGCCATGGACGTGGTGTACGCGCTGAAGCGACAGGGACGCACCTTGTACGGTTTCGGAGGATAAACGTCTTTAAACACAAACCCAACGGCTCTTTTAAGAGCCATCCACACTCTCACATAAAGAGACAATGTTGAAGTAATGTATAGACTTGTGCTGTAGTTAAAAATAAAATGTGAAAAAAAAAATCGCATGAGAATGAATCCCTATTTAAAACTGAATCTAGATAAATGCACCGAAAATATAAGTACGTTCTTGTTCTGAACCGAATAATGATTATTTTTTCTCTCCGTCTTGTGTTGTGACTCGTTCGTTTGTGCTGTAGAAGCTTCTGTCACTAAAACAAATTTTTCGTATGTATAAACGTACCTGACAAATATCTTATTTTGATTCTGATTCTCAAAATTGGAGCTCGTATAATGTTATATATTACTGTCAGAGGCGCACACAATGAGAGCGTGTTTATTGTTTGTCTTACATGGCATTTTTATTTGCTTGTTTAGCATTTAAATTGAATTGAAGTGATTTATACAATAAAGAGAAGACAATCAGATGGCAAAGATACTTTAGTTTGAGCAGAAGAGAGATTAGCAGGACAGCAGAGGAGAATAGTGTCTAATCGTTAAAGCTCTCCTTTCTCCAGATTCTCTCAATGGGTTTACTAGAGGTTTTTAAAAATTACACTATGATATTGATCCTGAGTGATATTTGAGACGGATTTGTTTTCTTATGTAGTTATTCTATCTATTTAATTTATTATCCACGTCTTATCACTGTCGTTCCCTTTGTGCTTTTGTCATCAAAACAAATGTATCGTGTGTATAAACACCTGGCAATAAAGATCTTTCTCATTCTGACTTTTGTTCTGATTCTCAAATTTAGAGCTCGCATAATGTTATATATTGCTGTCAGAGGCGCACTCAATGAGTTTTTTTTTTTTCTTACATGACATTTTTGTTTTGTTTAGCCTTCCTTTGAATTAAAGTGGTTTATGAAATTAAGAGAAAACAATCTTAAATAAGTTTGAGCAGTTAAATTGGCAGAACAACAAGAGAATAAAATGTGTGTAGGTATTGCTGTCCTTTCTCCAAATGAGCTCAGTGGGTTTATGTTTTTTTATATATATGTATATATATATATATATATATGTGTGTGTGTGTGTCTGTGTGTGTGTGTGTGTATCTGTGTGTGTGTGTGTGTGTGTATCTCTGTGTGTGTATCTCTGTGTGTGTGTGTGTGTGTCCGGCGCAGGTTCTGGAGAAGACAGTGACGTTCTCAGCATCAACGCAGACATTGACGACAGTGACATTGAGGGTCATAAAGCGGTCGAAGCTGAAGAAGCGGCACTCGGAGATGAAGCTCTGCCTCCCAGCGCCGAGCCCAAAGTGGAGCTTCAGCACGACATCGACAGAAGCGTGAGTGAAATTCTGGCTCCGACGTCTGGCTCTGAGCCCGAAGATCTGAGGGAAGCGTCGCCGGAAAAAGCAGCCGCTGAAGAAAGGGCTCCAGCGAAGCAGCCGTCGACTCAGCAGCTGGAGTTACTGGAGCTGGAGATGAGAGCCAGAGCCATCAAAGCACTCATGAAAGCCAGCCAGATCCAGAAACACACTCACTGCTGACGCTCAGACTCACAGTGTGCTGCCAGATCCAGAAACACACTCACTGCTGACGCTCAGACTCACAGTGTGCTGCCAGATCCAGAAACACACTCACTGCTGACGCTCAGACTCACAGTGTGCTGCCAGATCCAGAAACACACTCACTGCTGACGCTCAGACTCACAGTGTGCTGAAGAGGGTCTGTGGACATGTGGCTCAAAACTCCAGAATCACTGGAACAATGTCTCTCTGTTTGTCCTGAACCACACTGTTAGCTCCTAAAAGTTTAACAAGCGGTCGCTGTGGATCCAGAATATGGTTGATGTTGATATAATAAACTGATTGAAGTTTATTCATTTATTTATTTTTTGAAGCGAAGAAAAATTGCCATTTAGGATGATCGGGATTATGTCTATGGGCAATATGGCCAAAATCTCATATCACAGTTTACGCCATTTAATATCACCCTAAATTTATGTATATAGAGTGACATGGATAAATATACTCTTCATTCTGGACGCGGCTGTAAAACATTGGTCCGTCTCACAACAAAACCAAACAAACAAACAGCCGACTCTATCATAAGCGTTCTTATTTTGCATATCATTTAGTTCTCATTAAAGTCCAGATATAATTATATTTATAGCAATAGCCAACAATACATTTTTTTTAATACAAATTCTTATGATGTTTGATGAGAGAGAGCTTTAATTTCCAGAGGAATGAAGATAAACCTGTCCATGAGTCAAAGGCACTGCAGAATTCATCTAAACAACAATCTGAATATTCAGCTGCCTGAGATTCTTGGAGAGTTTGCTGGCATTATTGATACAGATTTCACTTCTTCGAATCAGGTGCGCGGTTAACTTTCATTTTACAGGAAAGAAAAGTAAACTGGTTGTCCTTTGCTTTGAACGGACATATTCAAAATGTCTGTTCATCTGACTACATTTTACAAAGCAAAGAGTCAAATATAGTCCCAACAAGGCCTGTAATAGTGTGGGGCAGTTTGACTGGAAATGGAAATAGATTTTGTTGAACTGAAAACAAATGCACACACATACAATAACTCCTTTACTAAGGATGCTGATGTCTGTTATCATCATAACTAGATTCTAGCAGAATATTGTATATTAATCTGCTGCATGCAGAGCAGGAACTATTGTGACCTAACTTTCGTTTTCAGAGAAATTAAATTGCTTTTGTGAGTATTGCTTTCTGGAAAAACCTCCTCGACTGCTTTCCAGTAAATGCCACTACTACATTTTAACATATTTGTGTGTGTTTGCTTGATACTAACTGTGTTTTATAAATGTATCAAATTGACAAATGTATTGATGTGTTTCAGATGAATGACAAATTGTTTAAAGAGCAAAGATAAATATTAGTTTATCTTTCATTTCATTACACACACAGATACAGATACAGACACAGACACACACACACAGACACACACACACACACACACACACACACACACACAGACAGATACAGACACAGACACACAGACACAGACACACACACACACACACACACCTATATGACTTCAGGTGCAACAGGTTTGTGACACAAAGGTGGTGGCATATAAAGGTTGGCCTCATCTGCTGTTGAACACCGAACAGCTGACTGGCTTCAGAACGGTAAGATAATTCATGCCTTTCACTACTTTCTGTAAAGTATATTTGATGTTTGTCTTATTTAACACAAAAATGGCTTTAAATGGTATTTTGGGCATAATTGCTCAGCCAAATTTGTGATTAATTTGTGAATAAATCGATTAATTGGTCACCACATCATTTAGGCTAAGTAATTTAATTGAAAAGTGGAATCGTTTGACAGTATATATATATAATTTTAATTGTTTGACTAATATAGCCCTATAGCTCAATATACATGCATGAGTATATTATGTACTATATGTATTTTAACGCCGTTATCGCACTGGCCCCGCCCCCAGACTTCTACGTCATCTCACTTTTCATACAGCTGTTGACAAACATGATGCAGGACAACAACTCACTGCCTGATGTAGCCTATATAAAATACATGTATATGCCCTTAATATTTAATATACTGGGGGGAAAAAAAAAAGTTTTTGTATCATATTTATATCATATGTTAAGTTATATCACATAAACAGGAGAACAACATTACACAAGTGCAAACAGTTCAGTTAATAGTACGTTAGTAGTGTGTTATATTTTAAATAGGCTACAATATTGTCTGTTTTTGCTAAATTTTGCCAACGAAAATATAAAGCCACGGAGCTGTACATCTCGCAGCAACACTCACCTGTGATTCATTTCTGAATGAATCCACGGTTTGAATGAATCTTGTGGATCAATGATTCAATGGACCGTTCATTAAGAGAGCCGTCTACTTCATTCCTGAATGAATCATCAGTTTGAACGAAACGAATCGAATGAATGACTCAATGACTTATTCATTAAGACATGTACTGCCACCTACTGGTAGTTTTAGTTTCTTATTTTCTTAGTATCATGTTATTAAAATGAATGAATGAATGAAATAAAGTCATAATTCACCAAAAAAATAAATAAAATATGTCATCATTTACTCACCCTCATGTCATTTCAAAGCTACTTTTTGCAATATCTACTTGATATTTTTTTTTTTTTCTAATTTAAAACAATAATGGCTGAAAGAAATATGAAAGAATCATAATCTGGCACAGACAAGAAACTAATTAACTAACACATTCAAACAATTAAAAAAGAAGAATCACATATCTGGCTCAAAATCAACAAGCACCTTACCCAAAGCACTAAAGATGTTTTCTTATGCGCTCTCTATATTCCTCCGTCTGAGTCTCCATACTATAATGCGGACATCTTTGAATCTCTCCACAGCCAAATTAACCACTTCACTCCGAGGGAAGTGTGTTAATGTGTGGGAATCAAAACGATCTAAATTACAGTTTACATTGTTAACCAAACTGTTTTCACCTCCCACCAGCGATGGCATCTAGAAATGGTATCTGTCCTCCTATTGGAAGGGGGGGAAAAAAATGAACACGAAAGTGGGAAAGGTTGCTAAGACTAATAATGAAGAAGGAATGTTTGCAGAACCGAAAGGTCATTCATTAGTTTAAAAAAAAAGGAAAAAAAAAAAAAAAAAACGATCATACATTCACAGCCCAGTAAGCTGAACAACATTGGAGAGAACATATTGCTAGGGTACCTGGGGTGGTTGCTAGGCTGTTTTTAGCATTACTAGCATGTTGTTAGCATGTTCTAGCATGATTAATATGTTACTAGCATGATGCTAGCATGATTAGCATGTTTCTAGCATGATTAGCATATTGTTAGCATGTTGCTAGCACAATTAGCATGTTACTAGCATGTTGTTATCATTATGATTAGCATTTTGCTAGCATGTTTAACATGGTTAACATGTTTCTAGCATGATTAGCAAATTATTAGCATGTTTCTAGCATGATTGCCATGTTACTAGCATGGTGTTAGCCTTTTGTTAGCATTATTAGCAAGTTGTTAGCATGTTTCGAGCATGATTAACATGTTACTAGCATGTTTCTAACATGATTAGCATGTTTCTAGCATGTTGTTAGCATTAGTGGCATGTTTACTAGCATGATGTTAACATTTTGTTAGCATGATTATCAAGTTACTAGCATGTTACTAGCATTTTGTTATCATTATGATTAGCATTTTGCTAGCATGTTTAACATGGTTAACATGTTTCTAGCATGATTAGCAAGTTATTAGCATGTTTCTAGCATGATTGCCATGTTACTAGCATGGTGTTAGCCTTTTGTTAGCATTATTAGCAAGTTGTTAGCATGTTTCGAGCATGATTAACATGTTACTAGCATGTTTCTAACATGATTAGCATGTTACTAGCATGTTGTTAGCATTAGTGGCATGTTTACTAGCATGATGTTAACATTTTGTTAGCATGATTATCAAGTTACTAGCATGTTTATAGCATAATTAACATGTTACTAGCATGTTGTTAACATGACTAGCCAGTTACTAGCATGTTGCTAGCATGATTCTAGCATTATTAGCATGTAAAATTATTCTAGCATGATTTGCATGTTACTAACAAGTTGCTATCATGTTTCTAGATTGATTAGCATGTTGTTAACATGGTGTTAACATTTTGTTAGCATGCTTAACAAGTTACTAGCATGTTGCTAGCATGATTCTAGCATGATTAGCGTTACTAACATTATTTTAGCATGATTAACATGTTACTAGCATGGTGTTAGCATTTTGTTAGCATGATTAGCAAGTTACTATCATGTTGTTAGCATGTTTATAGCATGATTAGCAAGTTACTAGCATGTTGTTAACATGATTAGCAAGTTTCTAAGAGGAGATACACTATAAAATTTGGTCTCAGAAGAAGAAGTGTTTTTTTAACTTTAAACCGCATAAACACATTTCATTACACCAAATACACAAAATAATGTTCTTTTTAGCAACATCATATGACCCCTTTAAATAGGATTTCAGTAAGTTGGCTTTTTCAAGGCTTTTACAGATGGGCAAAACAGCACAGAAACATATGCGACAGTAATTGGCCATCCAAAAGTATGCTTACTTATCAACAACTTTCTAGGAAAGGTCTATCCTCACAGTGGAGATGGTGTCAATCTGGCTGTGGAGAACATTAATTATATATTTGATCATTTGGCCAATTTATCTAACCTCACAACCTCTAAGAAAATGCATAAAACCACACAAGAAAATTAAAAAATGGCTTGATTAATGCTGTAAAACAATGAGAAAAATGTCGTCACAATCGCAGATAACAACATCCAGGATTCATGTGCGGCAGAGTAAGATTAATTTAATTTACATTTAACCAGTTTAATATGGAGAGGCACTGAAATGTAAACCTTCGTTTATGTGTTTTTGACCTACACTACATTACGTGAGAACAAGTTAGCTCTTTAGGTTTGTACGTTAGCATCTCACTAACTTTAACGTTAGCTAGTTTTAGCCAGAGATACCTTGCTGAAGCACAAGATGACATTAACGTTCTGCTTGAGCAGATGAAAATGTTTAATTAATGAGAGTATGACAACCAGACAACGAATGTTTTCGTCTTCATTGGGATTGGGGTTGAACGCTTAGGAACATTTTGCTCCGTTTTGTTTGGGTTTAGGAAATGTAATGAAATAAATTATATCGCCCATCCTCTCAGGATACCTGGAATCAGTGTTACAAATACCCCAGGCACATCATTTAGCATAAACACCATCAAACCCATGAAAGATTCGGATCTCTCAATGTTTCTCTTTGGCACTGAAACCTAAAGATGTCCCCGCGCAACTGATACTCAACTGCTATTGGCTCATCTGCGTTCAAGGGGAGGGGCTTACCAATAGATCAATTGCACTGTATGGCAGTGAAGTTTGAGGTCCTCTCCTAAATCATGAGTTTGACAAATGGCACAAAAATCCAACTGAAGCCATGCATACAGAGATTTGTAAAAGCATCTTAGGGTACAGAGAAACACACCTAATAACACATGCAGGGCAGAACTAGGCCAATACAGTCTATTACTCCACATCAGATTTTGGATACATCTAACATTGAGTGACCCCAACTCTTATCATTTTTAGCCCTTAAAAACCATGACATGAATGCTGAAAAGAGCCCCCTCATTCAGCTGGTCCCGAGGCTCCACAAACAGACTAATCAGACTAAATATAGCTTTGATATTTGACTTTATAGGGGCGTATAACTGCATTTGTTGGCTCCATCACGCAGTGAGTTGTTGCCCTGCATAATGTTCATCACTAATCAACTGTATGAAATGATAACCTAGGTCTGGGACGGGACATGTGTGTTTAATGAGTAAAGAAAAAACAGAAAAAATAACACCATGTCAAGTGGTTTTTGTCTATTGTCTACTCTGTTCAGACATTATTTGTCTTTATTCTGGCATGATAATAATATCCCGTTCTTCTAGGTATCCTGATTTCGGTCTCTACAGTGGAATAAGGACGTGCAGGACTTTTGAGACACTTCTCACAAAAAAGATCTCAGTTCTGATTGGAAATAAATAAATAAGTAAACAAACAGGACTGAAGATGTGCCAGTTGCCCTCATCCAGTGAAACACTGATCTCAACTCCAACTAAACTTAGAGATTCACTGGCATGCCTCGACATTGTGTGGTCTGACATGTTTGAGTCTGAAGATTCAGCCATTAACTCTAAAGTATCTAAGAAGCATGAGACTGACTTCCTTAAAGGAGCCCCACCGAAGTGGCAGAATTGTTCTGCAAACTCACAATTTGTAGAACGGGATTGCTTTAAATATTTAAAACAGTTAGTAGAGGGAAAAAAAAGGAAAAAACGCCTGATCACTGAAGTTTCTTTAAAATACCAGCCTGGCAGCGGAGGCTCAACTCTCGCCATGCAGGTGCTTTGGCATTTCCGGAAAGATCTCAGATGTGCCAGAGTGATCGATTCAGATCTAGACACCGAACAGCTGGCGAAACAAGTGCTGGACCTTTTTCTGCTGTCTAATGAACAACATGCTGAACATGATCAGAAAACGGTGCTGCTGTTACTGGACACAAACGATGAGCTGTTAGTCAAGAGTATTCTCCGGAAAAAACTGAATAAAGAAATACATGAGAGGAGCATCAGCACAGACACTCCAGCTGTGATAATTTTTAATTGCAGCCCTGCAGTTTTTAATTGCAGCCCTGCAGACTCTGCTACCGTTGTTCGTTCAAAAGATGATGTGAAACTTTTAATGAAGCTCTCAACAGAGGAGAGGAAGAGGTTTGATCAGAAAAAGGAGGAGCTAAAAAAGAAATACAAAAAAATGTCACAGAAGTTTCTTGCCTTTAACATCATGCAGGGAGGTTTCCAGAAAGAAGATGCAGAGAAACTGATCACACAAGAAATGGTGAATCATATTGAAAAGGACACAAAGTCCAGCAGCACAAGACTTCTCAGTTTTTTGGCTTTGATAAACTCGTATGTCCCAGGTTCACACTTGTCAAAGCTTGTCTGTGAGGAATTCATAGATCCAACAAAACAGCCGTCCGATGAGAAAAACCCCAAACTGGAAACAATAATGAAGCCTTTCGAGGATCTCATAGTTATTTTCTCAGAAGGAGAACAAGAAGACCGATGCGTTCGTCTGGCTCATCCAATGATTGCTGATGCCTGTCTAAACATGTTCACTGAGCACAAACTGACCAGATCTGACATCGCTCTCGACTTCTTGAACAGCATGGTGAAAGGAAAGGAGAGCAATTATGGACAGATTTGCAAGAAGATATTCATCACAAGACTTGAGACAGGACAAGGAAAGGAGCTCAAAGGAAAGAAGAAGTTTTCCACACTGATTCTTGACATCATGCATGAAAGTGGAAATAATAATAACCAATGCATTCATTTGTTGGAGATGGCTGCAAATTTGTTCTCCACAGACCCTTATTATCTCCAAACACTTGCACGTTTTTATTACATTAAGGTAAAAGAGGACAACAAATATGAAATGGCAGAAACATGGGCAGAAGAGGCCATTAATCGAGATCCCAAAAAATCTGATATCAGGGACACATTGGGGCAAGTCCACAAACACCACCTGCAATCTAAAAAAAAAACCCTAGACGTTAAAGAGTGTTTGGCCATTACAAAGACCGCCATTGATGCATTCAAAGATGAAGAGAAAGCAGCTGAAGTCGAGTCAGAAGAAAACACCACATTCAATAACAGAGGCTGCTTTGGATTTCTCCAGGTTTGCAATGTCATTCATGAAATGCGTCCAAATCCAAAAAACCCTCTTGAACAAGAACACAGTGATTACATCAGCGGTCTCAGAGGTGATGTTGAGTCTAGATATGATTTCTTTGAATGGTATCTGGCATTCTCAAGACCAAGCCTCAATACAGAGGAACCAGACTACTTTCATGAAGATGTTGAGGAGTGCTACAAGAAATATTTTACACAGGGAGAGCAGACTGATGAAACGACCCTGAATGAGAAAAAGATGAAGTCTTTTGGGGGACTGCTTCATTTCCTAAAATCAGACACCAATGTGCTTAAAGAACATCAGAGTGCACTTAAACATCTACAATCTGACAATGAAACCCAAACCGTTCTCTACATTCTTGCCAACATCGTCTTGAGTCAGTCGGGTGAGCAGTGTGAACAAGCAGAAGATCTTCAGGCCAGGTTACAGAAACTTTGGCTGAGAGAAATACAAGACAGAAGCCCAGAGTTTTACCTCTTGATTCTTTTGCTCTTTTGGCCCGATGAAACACAGCCAGGAATCACAAACCCTCCAAACCTTGAAAAGTGTCTCAAAAAAATGCATCATTCATACAAGGAGAAGTATCAGAAATACCTCCGCCGTCGCTACCTGGTGCCTCTGTTCTTCTTTGGGAAAGGAACAGGTTTGCAGAGACTGGTTCATGCATTAAAACTAGATCAAATTGATCTGGAGCTCCTCACTGAAGGACATGGACATGCAGACGTCGAATGTCTTCAGCGTATCAACGGAGAGGTCAAGAATCAAGAAGTGTTTGCTGTTAGAGATGGCCAACAGATCCCAGTCACTCCTCACAATCCGTCCAGTGTGTGCAAACCAGGCCAGGTGTCTTTCTACCTGGGCTTCACCATCAGAGGACCAGTTGCCTACAACATCAGATATGAAGAGAACCGTAAGTACAGCAATACTTTATATTTCAGACTCATGACACACTGTCATATACGTCAAACATTTATCAGTAGTATTGAGTCAACTGTGTTTTCTTCTCAGTGACTCTGCAGAGATCACATGTGAACCGTGTGATTTAGTGCTCGAGCAGGTGACTGTGGGATGCAATGACTCTCCGAAACTCAAATGTCCTCAGACGGCTGATCCAGGACAAATGTTTACATGTCTTCTTAATATTTCTGTTTCTAAGCTCTGAAGAAAGGAAGGGGGGAGACAAGTTGATGATAATTATTAGTTATAAATAGAGTTCAGTCATGGTACATTGGTCACTTATTTTGAGAGAGAGAGAGAGAGAGAGAGACAAACCCTGTCAGTTGCCCTGACAGTCAACCTCCAAAAAACTAAAGTCATGATCTTCCAGAAACGCTCCAGATCTCAGGGACTAACACACACATTCACACTATCACACAGAACCATTGAAACCACAAAAACATACACTTACCTCGGCCTAAAAATTACTCCAACAGGTAACTTTACTTTGGCTGTGAATGAGCTCAAAGAGAAAGCTCAAAGGGCTTTCTATGCCATAAAAAGGTCAATTAAAATTGACATCCCGGGTTCCGGTTTAGCGTCTACCATGTGAAGTCGCAAGGTCGGGAGCTCTGCAAACTGATTGCTATATTTACTTTCCACATAAGTTACAACGCATTTTAACCTACTCGTCACAGCTGCTAAATTGTTTTGAGGGATATATCTGAACTTTACGCCTCAATGTCGAAGGCTCCGCGACAGAAAAAGACTGACTCAGCGAACTCTAACGGATCTGCAGAGTCAGCCAAAGATGAAGCTAGCATAACTGATGGTGCTACAATAATGGCAGCGATTAAGTCCTTGGAAGCTGGAATTCACCAAAAGTTTGACGCGCATGCAACCAAGTTCCGAAAAGAAATATCATCCTTGCGAGAAGAGATGCACAATTCACTAACGGCGGTAACTTCAGAAGTGAAAGCGCACGAGGAGAGACTAACTACTTGAACCGACTGTGGCCTCCTTACGGAACGAGATTGCGGCTCTTCAGGCCAAGTGCACAGATCTGGAATGTCGCTCTCGCAGAAGCAATTTGCATCTTGTGGGTATTCCCGAGGGTATGGAGGGCACACAGCCCACAAAATTCATTGCAGAAGCACTGCAAGAAATATTCAGCCTCCGTGAACCCCAGCTTCTTGCCCGAGCCCATCGTAAGCTGGCAGCGCAACCCGCGGAGGGTCAGCGGCCACGGGCGTTTGTCATATGCTTTCACCGATTTGACGTCAAGGAGGATATCCTTCGGAGGGCCATTCAAGCTAAACAGCTCAAATTTAAAGACAGAACTGTCTATATTTTCCCCGATTTCCCTCCCGAGATCGCAAAAAAGAGGGCAGCTTATTACGACGTGAAACGACTGCTGAGGTCCAGATCTGTCTGTCTCACACACACACAAACACACACACACTCAGCGCGCACAGTCTCTCTCACACACACACACACACACTCAGCGAGCACAGTCTGTCTCACACACACACACACACACAGCGAGCACAGTCTGTCTGTAGAGACGTGCCGGCGCAGACAAACCTGGCTCTCCCGTGAGGAGAGACTCTGCTCCCACTGCAGTCTGGGAGAGATAGAGACAGAGCTGCACTTCCTCACAGAATGCCCCAAATACCTAACCATCAGAGACCACTATTACCCCAAAATAAACAAAATATTTCCCCAATTTAATAATTGCACCCCAACTGAAAAACTCACCTTCATTCTTGGTGAAAAATCTGAGTGTGCAAATATAGCTGCAAGATTTATAGCAGCCTGCCGACTCCTGAGGCACAGCCACAGCCAAGAAACCAATATCCAGTAAATATACGGCTATCTCACACCAAACCAATACACGACTGTAGATAACGTTGAATCCAGTTATTCAGTTTATTAGTCAAACAAATACAGAAATAATCTTGTTATATAACCTTTACTATATCATATATATGTTTATATGTATCCATATGTTTTAATGTCATTCTTTCAATATTACTTGTTCATATGTTATTTCAATTGCTATATGTAATTCTTTCAATATTACTTGTTCAAATGTTATTTCAATTGCTATATTGTTCCAAATTACACTGTTGTATATGTTCTCTTTTCCTATGCATGCTTTGACAATGCAAAATGTGCTTTTGTCATGCCAATAAAGCTAATTAAATTGAATTGAATTGTGAGAGAGAGAGAGATAAATATAAAGATTTATGATTCTGGTGGTGGGTCTGTAAGTTCAAATTATTTTCAAGTGTTTTAACCACTTAATATTTAGTAATCTAGTGAAACAAAATGCTGTTTGACACTGGTTTTTATTTATATAATATACACACGAGATGCATTTGTTATCTGTTGTATGGCCGCATTTATTCCAGTAGAAGCCAGAGAGCTGATTATTAATTATGCACAGTATGCAACTTTGAGATGTATCTGTTATTGTTTGATGTGTGGCTACATTTATTTCAATAAAAAGCAACATTACAATTTCACTTGCTGTCACTCTGCATTCAGAATGTATCTTTAGCAAAGCAGTATACAACAAATCCAAACACAATTATGTCTCATCATCATTAGATTAGTGTTGTTCATAATCATAATCTTGTTCTGTGTTTAGTTGGACTTGCTGAAATCACAGACCAACGCAAACATTGTTCACCATTTATCTTGTTAGCCTAATGATGATGAATAAACTGAAATAAGTAACAATAAAGAAGATAATTAGCACTGAAACAAACACTGCCAGGTTGCCGGGTTAGGCTCATTTAATGAATTATATGATGTGAGAGTCTTCAAACACGACCAGCTTGTTCTATACGTCAAGGAAAATACTAATGTTCACGTTTATTAAAGCCACACAGAATCTTATCAGTAAAGCCGGTTCTGTAATCAGCGGTAAATCTCCATCACATGCGTGCTTTCACATTGAGCAGCATTAACTACACAGAGCCGTTGTTCACTGACGAGCTGTGCAAAACCACGTTCATATTCGCGTTATTTTTTGCGCAGCTCGTCAGTGAACAACGTGAAAGCACGCACGCATTTATCGTGCAGCCCTAGTAAAAACCTGTTAAATGGTTAACGGTAAATTCCCCTACTATATACGGTGAAAAACTGTATTGGACATTACATATATTGGACATTAATTTTACGGTAGTATACAGTTTTTGGAAGTGAAAAAGACCGTATAATTTACAGTGAATAACCGTAAAGTGACATTCCCAGAATTCCCTGCGTTACATTACAAATTTGATGTTTTTTTGTTGAAATAACGGTTTCT